TCGCTAAACAGTGGGGCAAAGATAGCTGATGCATACTCAGTCGTTGCCTTGCCTGTTGCCCGGTAGGTCATGACTAGCGTCTCAGTGTCCTGGCCCCTGGAAGAACCTGCCAACGCTTTTAGGATGTTGAGCTTGGCTTTGGCTATCTTGGCTTGGATGTGAGCATGGTGGTGTAGAGCCAGCGTCGGGTCGAGAGTGAGGCCCAGGAGTTTAGGATACTGACATAAAGAAAGGTCATTGCCCTCCACCTTAATTGGAGGATGGGACTTGTATTCGTTGGGGTCCGGAGTAAACAGAGTTACTGAGGACTTGGGAGCGGATAGCTTCAGGTGCTTATCGTCTAGGTGCCGGACTAAACTTGGGATGTAGTCAGTTAAGGCCTCGGCAGCCATGTGGAAGTTCGAGTGAGAGGACAGCAGGGTGATGTCATCAGCGTAAAACATTATTTCGACTTCAGGGTGGGGATTCGGGAGGTCAGCCATATAGATGGAAAGGTGAGTGCCACTAGCGGTTGGTGAACGTTCTGTAGCCCGTTGTTTGTCATTACTAATAACAATGAGGGAGGAGGTTGGTAGCCAACTTACACAAAGGCTGCCAGATGGCTGGAGTTGATCTTGGGTAATTGGAGAAGCGAACTGTCCTCCAACCAAAGGGCCTGAGAGATCATCTGGGTCAGAAGAATGGCATGTAGGGTGGAGGTCAACCATCCGTTCTCAGCGCAGAAGTCTATTGCGGCCTTGAGCGGACAAAGATAAAGGAATGGAGGGTTGAAGAAACAAAAATACGTACTTTGTCTTACACTTAATATGGTTATTTGTGAAAAAGACGGAGTGAATGTAGATTAAGTAGGTCACATGGGATGGTACAACTCGGTTTTCCGAAGATCTTTCTTTTCATCATATCTCAGAATGCAACTTACTTCAATTATCCATTATTACATGCCTTCGTCATCCTCCTGACTCTGGGCCCTGAGGTTGATAGTCGACGTCTAGGGAATTTCGGGGTGGTTTTAAAGATAACGGCGGTTGCGACGACCCAATGGCACTGAGGGCGTGTTCGGTGACATGGCCCCCCTAAACGG